GAGCGATTTTCAAATACCTGACGGACATTGTTCAAAACATGTGGTGGGATATCAGCTTTCGATGATACGTTGACGAAGTTCATCCAAACTTTCAGGTTTGGGAGTAAATACAATAGATTTGAAATCGCCCCATAGAAAAAAGTCAAGTGGCGTCAAATCAGGAGATCTAACAAACCATTCTATAGGTCCTCTTCGCCCTAACCGTTTAACTCTTCATCTAGCCATCGCCGAACCGAAAGAACTTAGTGAGGAGGTGCGCCGCCTTACTGGAAATGTATTTCAGCCTCATCAAGTATAGGGGTTTTATCCTCTTTGATTTGGTTTTCAGTGGTTTCAGTGATAAGTCGATTGATGGTATTTTCCAGCATGTCCAAATAAATGTCTCCACTCCAATTTCCATTAACAAACAATGGCCCAATCACCTTGTTTCTCAAAATGCCTGCTCATACAATAATTTTTTGTGGCTACTGGGTATGGCCTTCTACAAAAGCATAAGGATATTTATTGCTCCGATATCTGCAGATATGCTTATTGGCAGATCCATTTAGATAAAATGTGCATTTGTCACTGAAGCAGATATTCTTTACATGAATTTTCACTCTTTTGGCTTTTTATAAGTAAAATCTGTGTCAATAAATTAATTTTCACTATTCCAAGATTGTCACAAACTGAGAGCAAATTAAATTCTGTCTTTCCCTTAGCTACAAATATACTAAGTGACATATAAATCTGAACACCCAGTTTAAATGGTTTTATTTTAATAAAAGTTGGTGAATGTATTTATCTTACTGTAAATAACAAGTGAAAAAATTTTCAGCCTTATCAGTTGGACATTCCGGTTTTTATACTGCTTCTTTTTGATTCACTAACGCTCTAAAAATGAATGTTGCAGCCGCAGTAAAGAATCAACGTTGGCGGATTTTGGTTCTAGACATCCTTTAAGATCGGTTACGATGCCTAGAGTACGGAGACCTGTACGATTTCGTCAACTTAGTGAGTTTGATAGGGGCCGTATAGTGGGACTTCGGGAAGCTGGACTTTCTTTTCGGGCAATTGCAGTTAGAGTGCAAAGAAGTGTAGACACTGTGGTTAGGTGTTGTCAGGCATGGCTTCGAGAAGGCCGTACGCAAAGAGCAAGGGGCGCTGGACGCCGCTGTAGAACAACAGACCGTGAAGATCGCCGCCTAAGATTATTGGCCTTAAGGGACCGTTTCTCCACTACCAGGTCCATTGCAAATGAATGGTTTGCAGAACACGGAAGACCTATTGGCATGCGAAGTGTTTACCGACGAATGAGAAGTTTTGGCTTGTTTTCATACCGGCCACACTGGGTCCTCCCTTTAACTCGAGAACACCGACGTAATCGCCTTGAGTGGTGCAGACAACGGTCACTCTGGGATCAGGAATGGAACAGTATTGTCTTTAGTGACGGGTCTCGATTTTGTTTAGGCATGCACGATGGTCGTGCCAGGGTTAGAAGGCGACGTGGTGAAAGGAGGAATCCACAGTTTTTTGTTGAAAGACATGTTCACCACACTGTTGGAGTTATGGTTTGGGGTGCTATAGCTTATGGTTCCAGGTCACCTTTAATCTTCATCAGAGGTAACATGAACGCTCAGCGTTATATCCACGAAGTCCTTTAACCCCATCTTTTACCTTATCTTGACACCCTGGCAGATCCAACTTTCCAACAAGATAATGCCCGACCACATGTTGCAAGAGTCACAATAGACTTCTTTCAACATAATGATGTCACATTGTTACCATGGCACCAAGGTCTCCCGACTTATCCCCAATTGAGCTCGTGTGGGATATGATGGGTAGGAGATTGCTCAATTTGCAACGTCCTCCTCAGACTCTAGAAGCACTTCGAGAGGAGTTGGTGGTTGCCTGGAATGAGATACCACAGGAGGACATTGACCACCTGATCAGAAGCATGCCTAGGCGCGTTGGAGAATGCGTAGCACATCAGGGTGCATCCACACATTATTAAAGGTCAAAGGGCTTTAAAGCAGTGCAATCATTTTGAAATTGTTACCATTTACTTATTATGCTTCATTAAGTACTTATACAAAGTTTTGTTAAAATAAAACTATTTAAACTGGGTGTTCGGATTTATATGTTACTTAGTATAGCTAAACAGGTATAACAATAAATACAGTTCGCCCGGGGTATTTGAATTGATGAAAAGAATGCGGAAAAAATTCGGGCTGTTATTATAACGAATTGGCAACGCTTATTGAAACAAAAAGTGATATTATCGTGCGTTTTTGTTTTCTATGTGAACACATTAAGATAAGTAAAGCCTTTTCAAATTTTCTCGGAAACTAATAGACTGATTTAGAAAAATTGTACGTCAAAATAAAGGACTTCGAAATACCTTTCTAAAGCGAATGATTCTGGGGACCGAGCGTGAAACTGGGTGAAGTAGTTTTTGGTTAAAAGGTTGTCCCCTTTGACAAATCTTTTGACGTGTCTCGGCGTTTTTTCTTTTAATCCGTGGTGTCAAGTTTTCAAATGTGTACATTCACCGTTCTTGCTAATCGGAAAAACTTTATCTCCCCAATTCAGAAAGGCGAGAAATATATCGTACCGAATTAATAGGCAACACGACTGGAGTTTTCTCAGTATCCGGTCCGATAACTACAACATGCACATTCACCTTTTATGTAAATCGGAAAAACATCCCAATTCTCGGAAAGTATTCACAAGGTCATTTTAGTATCATAAGAACTTTTATTCGGAAGGCCAGAAATGTGTCATACTGAATTTGTAGGTAACTTGACATTTTCCATATGTTCTTTCCGAAAAATTAGTCAAAGGCAAGATCCCTCCCTCCTTATAGATCCTCTACCTCCTCCAGTGTCTGTTAGAGCCCGGCATCGTTCATCAACCTTGGTCCATGATGAGTTCCCTCTACTTTACGGCGACGTAGCGGTAATAAAGGAGCTTAATTAAGAAGTTGCAAGCCATTCACATGCATTAAAGAGGAGTTCCTTGCAAGCAAGCAGTGGTTTATGTACGGCCATGATCGGCCTGCGGACCGCAACTCCCGGGTTCATTTGACCTTCTCGACTCTCTTATATCCACCACCCTTATCCCGTCGGTTTATGGGTGCGGTTTCTGTTAACAGGATTGCTGCTTGCAATTCTTGGTAGTGTATGGTGACATTATTCTCCATATTGATTGTCTTGAAGCTGGGTGTCAGGATCAGATTACGGAACGCTTTTACTTAAGGGATGAAATTGATGCATAGAGGACATAGGGTAAATTATACTAGACATTTATTAAAAACACTTACATACAGGGTGGCGCATCGAAAACGAAACAGACGCATTTACTGGCAGCTCAGTTTTTTTTGGAAAAACGCTCAGACGCGTCGATTTTGTTTTCGAGGGGGATACAAGTTTAGCAAAAAATCACGTTAACACGTGCAGCCTCCTGGGCGGGGGTGACACCAACCCCAAAATCTTAAACGGAAAGGGGGATCGAGTAATACCTCATTTTAAAGGTCTTTCAATTCCCTTTATAATGATGTAAAGTACATGAGCTTCAGTTCAGTAGTTTTGAAGATTTATTGATGTAAAGCTTAAAGTAGACTTTAATAGGTACATCAGATTAGTTTGTACTACTTTCAGAAGAAATTTGACTAGAGGAATTTACTTAATAAGTAAATGCTTTTCTTCGCTACCCCCATGGTTTGTTTATCATTTTGTATTTAGTACATAGTTTGCCCTTGATTTGGCCAAACTTTGTTGCTAAGATAACTTGTAGTGCTTTATTACTTTATATTAACCATGGTTTACTCCACAGCAGAAAGAGTTGAAATTATCGAAATATTTTTCGGAAATAATCAGTGCGCTAGTAGAATAGCAGAGATATTTAATGAGCGACATGAGAACAGTAACGTGCATCGAAAATATGTTCTAGACCAATGAATCCCAAAGTGGTCTATATCGACCCCTAGGGATCTATGACAACCTGCAAGGGGTCTACGTCAGCGAAAAAAAATCTGGGGGTCCATGAAATGAATATGGGGGTCCACGATAGTGGGTCTCAACACATACACTGATAGTACCTATTTACTTACATCATACTATCTTATAATATCAAAACATATACATTATTTATAAAAGTACCTATGAAAAAAATTTATTACATATGTTTATAAAATTGTGTAAGTTGTAAGATGTTGGTACTCCCTTTGTGGTCGCAATACATTTTGAACTTGTAAAGACCTGAGAGTCGCAGTCTCAGAGTTTCGCTACCTTACACTGACTTGTTCAATTCGTCACTCTATAAATACGAATGTGGGACAAATACGTTTATTCGTTTCCTGAATCTTGAAAAGGAAAGTGCTAAGAAAATATTTAAAAAAATATAAACAGATAGTATCACACAAATTATAGTGAGTCAGTGTTATTTTGTTTGAGAGTGCTGGAGAAAAGTAAGTACATTATTTTTTATTAAATTTTAGTTTTGTACTCGTAGTTAGCAAAGAAAGATAAATTACGCCAATCATGACTTTAGTTATTAGTAGTTAAATATTCAATCATGCAAAATTACACGAGTTCTCCTCAATAGTTTCTTTTTGAAAGTTTTAGCAATCGGTAATATAATTACAGTGCAATCTGCGTAATTAGAGCTAATTGTTGCAAGATGTTCGAATTATGGAATGTTTTCGGAAAAATCAAAAAATATTTTTAATATACAGCTGCTGGATTTTCTGTCTTATTTAAATAATTTAATTTTGCCCACAGATGACTGATGCCATGTCCGAATCTAAAAAGAAATGTAAACAGTACAGTGTTGATTATTTGAAATTGGGCTTCATTCCATCATTGCCGGACAAACAATCGCCTATGTGCCTTTTATGCAACAAAGTTTTGGGCAATGACGCTATGAAACCATCTAAGCTGCAAGATCATCTGAGAAGATGCCGCCCTGATAAAACAGAGGAAGATTTGAAATACTTTCAAACACTCAAAGATAAATTTCAGAAGAGACCTACACTGGACAGAATGTTCGCTTCGACGTCACAAAGAAATGATGATGGTTTGGGGGCATCTTACAATATCTCGTTACTTATAGCAAAATCCGGAAAACCGCATACTATCGAAGAGAAGTTAATTTTGCCAGCCGTTGAAGAGGTTTTAAAAACTGTTTTCCACAAACCTGCATCTGATACCATTAAAAGAATTCCCTTAAGCAACAATACTGTTGAAAGACGTATTGATGAAATGAGTTCTGATATTGAAAGCTTCTTATGTAATTATTTGCAAACGACCCATTTCTCTATACAACTGGACGAGTCAACTTTACCTGAGAATGCAGCATTATTATTGGCGTATGTTCGTTTTATTATGAATCAAGAAATCTACGAAGAACTGCTCTTCGCAAGAACCGACACTAAAGGTGAATCAATATTTCATGTTTTGAAGGATTACTTCAATGCAAAAGCAATTCCTTTATCAAATATAATATCAGTAGCTACAGATGGAGTACCTGCCATGGTTGGACATTATCGTGGATTTATAAGCTATTCAAAACAAAATGTGTCAGGGGTGCTAGCAATACATTGCGTCATCCAGCGACAACATTTAGTTGCAAAAAATTTGAGTGTTAGATTGCTTGAATCACTTCATTTAGTCATTGATGCAGTAAACCGAATCCGAAGCAACGCGTTGAATACGTGGTTATTTGCGCAGTTGTGTGAAAAAAATGACGAACACTTTCATCAATCACTTCTTCACACTGAAGTACGCTGGCTGTCGCAAGGCTTATCTTTGACAAGATTTTTTGCACTTTTTGAGACTATTTTAGAATTTCTGGATATAAAATTTTAAAAGAAAATGTAATGAAGAGGAAAACAGACATCGCCTATTTAACAGATTTGTTTAAAAAATTTAATATGGTTAATTTGCAATTACAAGGCGACAGTTTAAATTTGATTAAAACAAAGTCCATCCTATCAGCGTTCCTTGCCAGAGTTAAACTAATGAAACAAAATATTGGACGGGGCGAATTTTCTCAGTTCCCCAATTTGTCACAGACAAGCTGCCAGGAAGACGTCGTTTCAACTGACGTTCAACATTTAAATGCCCTCTATTCAGATTTTGAATCTAGGTTTGAGGATATTTTGACTATGGTAATACCACCGTGGATAATTAATCCATATGGTGACATAGAAGAAACGAATGTTATAATACAAGAGGAACTGACTGAACTAAGTACAAACGAAGAACTTAAGGTTCAGTTTAAAAACGGATATCAGCAATTCTGGCTGCAAAACAACATACCCGTTACTTATCCCGTATTATGGAATATAGCGTGGAAATTTTTAATTTCCTTTCCATCGTCATACCTAGTGGAAACGGGGTTCAGTGCTGTTACCAATCTCCTAACGAAAAAAAGAAACAGGCTGGACATCATTAGCCGTGGAGATTTAAGATTAACCCTTACAAAATTAACACCAAATGTTGATAATTTATTATTAAAGCATCAGGTTCATCCTTCTCACTAAAAATATTGACTTATTGCTTATGTTATTTTGTTTATAGTTTTATTTATGTTTATTGGTATCTGACCAATAAATGCCCGCATTGGAAATAAGTGCCCGCATTGATTTTTTTAAAGAACCCCCCTTTATAGAAAATATTTTTTTTTTAAATTATTCTGAAAATTCAAGGATAGGTACACACTAAAATTCGTTAATTTTTTGCCTATTTTTAAATAACTTAAACGTATAAGAAGCGGAATTTAATCAAACTAACAGTGAAATTATTGTAGAACATACGTTTATGTTATAATTAATAAACGAACTCACTTATTGTACTATTTTAAGTAAAAGACTTTTTTTTTATTATTTTTCACTTTTTTTTTATTGTAATCCTCTCATTTTTTTTTCAATGCGGGCACTTATTCCCAATGCGGGCACTTATTGGTCAGACACCTGTTTATTTAATATTACGTATATTTTACATAACAGATACAAAATTTTATTTTGAGTAGTTTTAATTTAAATTCAATTAATAAAAGTATAAATTAACATGTGTTTTTACTTTAACACTAAACTTCACTACAGTTAGAAATTTACAGGAAATCAATATCAGGTAAGCAGGGGGTCTACCCAACACGGAAAAACATCGCAAGGGGTCTACGACACAAAAAAGTTTGGGGAACTCTGTTCTAGACCTTGTAGCTAAATTTCGGGAAACTGGGTCAGTCGCCAATAAAAAACGCAACATTGAAAATCCCATAAGGAACGAAGCAATAGAAGTGGGGTTTTAGGGCAAGTTTATGTAGATCCTACGCTAAGTACCCGCAAGTTGGAGACTTAACGAAGACGATTTTGATCGGCGATTACAATTTTGTGAAGATATGAGGGAACGAATTATAAACGATGAACATTTTCTATTCAACACTTGCTTTTCCGACGAATGTTCCTTTTTCTTAAATGGCGTCGTAAATCGTCATAACTGCCGATATTGGCCCGATTCTAATCCCAGAACTTATCATGCGGTTCATACACAGCAGCCACAAAAATTAAATGTTTGGGCTGGTATTTTTGGCGATCATTTACTTGGTCCCTTTTTCCTACCTGGAAATTTGACCGGTGAAATGTATTTGGAATCACTGAAAGACGCCATAGATCCTGCATTAACATATACATAATTGAAAATCAGAATGATCGGCGGTACATTGCGAATAGGTTGATGTTCCGACAGGACGGTACCCCACCATATTACGCATTTACATACAATATTTAGATCGGACATTTCCAGATCGATGGATTGGTAGAAGAGGTGCCATTGAATGGCCTCCAAGATCGCCAGATTTATCACCTTTGTTTTTCTTTATGTGGGGTCATTTAAAAAGCAAAATATGTGCTCCTCAGCCAACATCATTAGAAGTAAACAAGACCAGCCTTCTGGGGGTTTTTCTCTCATGTCTGTTAGTCTAAAAGATTTTCTTCATAATAATTTTTCTACATTTTAGACATTAAGGTTACTATTATTATTTTTATTACTATTATTTATTATTAATTTAACAATACGTTGTTCTCCTATTGCGCGTATCCATTTTGATAATTTCTTTTTAAAACTATGTGTATTTTAAGTCTCTGGGAACGCGCTCATATAATTTTGGAGCCGAATAGATTTATGAGGTTTAGAGACAGTGTTTGCTGGTAATTATATCGAGTATCACGACAATAATAATAACAATAATAATAATAAAAATAATAATAATAGCTTTATTGTCCAACATTTTCCCATTTATAGGACAATTTGTAGACATAATACAAAAGCCAAAAAAAAGGCGAAAAAAAGAGAAAAGAAAACAAAAAATACAACACAGGTATAAATTTGTAACATGAGCTATTGGTCCGAATAAGCCTTAGCTTAACTTATTTAATAAAGTTTTGTGGTTAATTTTATCGAAAGCCTTCGAAAAGTCGGTATAAATAACGTCTCACCTTGCTCATTACTATCAATTGCTTCCGAGAGGTACTGCGTTATTATAAATAGATTTGTGGTTGTTGTGCGATTAGCGACAAATCCGTGTTGATGCAATGACAGCTGACGTTGAAGGGCAGTGTAAATTCGACTGTACAAAACTATTTCAAAGACTTTGGAGAACATGCATAATATAGAGATTGCCCTGTAATTCTCAATATTTGACTAATTCCCACACTTAAACACTGGACAGACCTTAGCGATCTTCCAAATATCTGGAATTTTTTTTGTTATAAGACAAATGTTAAAAATCCTAGTTAGAACACCAACAAACACTTCCACACAATCTTTGACTATAAAGGACGGGATGCCATCTAGACCAGATGTCATCATATCCTTTACGGATTTAATGGCCTTCCTGACTTCATTTTCCTCAATTGGATGAACATGGACAAATAAATTACTATGATTTAGTGAGGCATTATTATGGGGCTTGTGAATAACATGGTTCTATCGCGCACACTGCCAACTGTGATAACGACCGATTGTATGTAAAAAAATAAAGCTGCTTGATATAAAATAATTTTGTTTCGTTGTAAACATTTTTTGTTGAAGATAATTTTGGCTTTCGGAACAGTTTCTAAAATAGTTCTCTGTAAAACCTCTATGTCGTTTAAATACGCTGGACACGCTGAACCCTACTCTAATACGTCATACGTTGGGTGTGGTTCAGTTGAGGTATGATATATCGTACGGCTATAATTTTCTGTCAATATATACTAAGTGACATATAAATCCGAACACCCAGTTTAAATGGTTTTATTTTAATAAAATTTTGTATAAGTAATTAATGAAGCATAATAAGTAAATGATAAACATTTCAAAATGATTGCACTGCTTTAAAGCCCTTTGACCTTTAATAATATGTGGATGCACCCTGATGTGCTACGTATTCTCCAACGCGCCTAGGCATGCTTCTAATCAGGTGGTCAATGTCCTCCTGTGGTATCTCATTCCAGGCAACCACCAACTCCTCTCGAAGTACTTCTAGAGTCTGAGGAGGACGTTGCAAATTGAGCAATCTCCTACCCATCATATCCCACACGTGCTCAATTGGGGATAAGTCGGGAGATCTTGGTGGCCATGGTAACAATGTGACATCATTATGTTGAAAGAGGTCTATTGTGACTCTTGCAACATGTGGTCGGGCATTATCTTGTTGGAAATTGGATCTGCCAGGGTGTCAAGATAGGGTAAAAGATGGGGTTCTAGAACTTCGTGGATATAACGCTGCGCGTTCATGTTACCTCTGAATCATAAGCTATAATACCCCAAACCACAACTTCAACAGTGTGATGAACATGTCTTTCAACAAAAAACTGTGGACGCCTCCTTGCACCACGTCGCCTTCTATCCCTGGCACGACCATCGTGCATGCCTAAACAAAATCGAGACTCGTCACTAAAGACAATACTGTTCCATTCCTGATCCCAGAGTGACCGTTGTCTGCACCACTCAAGGCGATTACGTCGGTGTTCTCGAGTTAAAGGGAGAACCCAGTGTGGCCGGTATGAAAATAAGCCAAAACTTCTCATTCGTCGGCAAACACTTCGCATGCCAATAGGTCTTCCGTGTTCTGCAAACCATTCATTTGCAATGGACCTGGTAGTGGAGAAACGGTCCCTTAAGGCCAATAATCTTAGGCGGCGATCTTCACGGTCTGTTGTTCTACGGCGGCGTCCAGTGCCCCTTGCTCTTTGCGTACAGCCTTCTCGAAGCCATGCCTGACAACACCTAACTACAGTGTCTACACTTCTTTGCACTCTAACTGCAATTGCCCGAAAAGAAAGTCCAGCTTCCCGAAGTCCCACTATATGGCCCCTATCAAACTCACTAAGTTGACGAAATCGTACAGGTCTCCGTACTCTGGGCATCGTAACCGATCGTAAAGGATGTCAA